CAAAATTCGATTTTTGATTTTGTAAATAAATATACTAAAAACTCTATAGGAAGAACAAAACATAAAATTGGGGAAATATTCAAAGGACAAAATAGTTGGGATTTATGATTTTACTTAACCGTCGCTTATTAATTTATCCACAAGAAAATTAATAAATTACTCATTTACATTGTTAGATTCGATTTTCCGATTTTAGCTAATTACTTCTCTCAAGTGAAATTACCCCTAATCAATATATATATATATATATATATATCAATTCCCTAAAGAACTTAGGGTATTTAGTATTTGGTATAAAATGTACAATCTTCTCTCTAACGACGCATAAATCATAAAAAACAATCATTCATTAGCTATATAAATGATAATGCATAAAATACAATAGTGTATACACTTGAAAATAAGAATTTAACATTAAAAAATAAATATTGAAATTAATCAAATTAGGTTAAATTTTCATCATAAATCCCAATACAAGAACTTAGCCCATTTTATATATATTGTAAAAAAGGAGAAGATTCATAAAAATAAATTACAAATAAAAGAAAATAATGAAGAAAATACAAGATTAAAGATAAAACCCTTTTTTGGTTGGATTTTTGAAGGTTGCAATGGCTTGATTTTGAGTTTTCCACAAACTTTTTCCTCTTTTTCTTGATTTTTCTCCCTCTTTGTGCCCTAGTTCTGGGCCCTTTTCCTAACTACATAAAAGAGGGAGTTTTGCTCTGCCACGTGTTGCACTCTTGCCATCCTTCCCAAAACGACGTCGTTTGGCTTAAAATATCCTGTTGCCCACCGCCTTTCTCCCTACTCCAGCTTCTTCATGCCGATTCTCGATCCTCTGCAACAAATTCACATCATTGCCTCAACTCTTAAGAAATAGAAATACCATATATCTATTAAATTAACTTATTTCAATCTTGTTTTGCCAACTGATTCTGGACATCCACAACAATAACCCTCCAAATTCCGCTCTTCGTGGGTTTTCCTTCTTCTTTTCTCACTTTCACCACGCCGATTGCCGAAGCTTCTTTACGCCAATTCCCGATCCTCTGCAACAAATTCACATCGTTGCCTCAACTGTTAAGAAATAAAAATACCATATATCCTAATAAACTTAAGGTCCAACTTGTTTCACGCCGATTCTCGATCCTCTGCAACAAATTCACATCGTTGCCTCAACAGTTAAGAAATAAAAATACCAAAAATCCTACTAAACTTAAGGTCCAACTTGTTTCAATCTTGTTTTGCCAATTTATTTTGGACACCCACTTTATTCCAGGTACTTGTTATATTTTTTCTCTGTCCGTTTACAAATTCTTTTTTTTTTAGTCTTGCGAGTTTTGCTGTCTTCAAAAAGATTTGAAACTAAATTCTTCCTGAATTTTTCCAGAGTAATTATTAGGTATGAATTTGTATTGTGTTTTGGGTTTAAGTTAATGTTCTGTACTGGGTGTTTTACTGTGCTTTTGTTAAATTTAGTTTTTGTATTGATTAAATTTCATTCCCTTATCATCTAGAAATTTTACAAACCTCTTGCGAGTTTTACTATCTTGAAAAAGATTTGAAACTAAATTCTTCCTGAATTTTTCCAGAGTAATTATCAGGTATGAATTTGTATTGTGTTTTAGGTTTAAGTTAATGTTTTGAATTCTTCCTGTCTCCTATAAATTTAGAAGGTCTAATGGATGAGATGGGGGAGAGTAGTGGTGCTTATATCATTCGAATTCCTTTTGGACTGAAAGATAAATATATTCCAAAATAACTCCTTTGGCCATATATCCCTGAATTTGTTGATGGTGCTCTTGGCCACATACTACAGATGTCCAAGGTTCTCGGCGACCAAATTGGTAATGGACATCCAATCTGGCCTGTTGCTATCCACGGGCATTATGCAGATGCAGGTGACTCCGGTGCTGTGAATTATTGTCCCTCTTCTAACTTATTCTACTGAAATCCAAATGGGCGGAGGCATGGAGAAATGCCTCCATCCACTCATGCCTCATCCATGCCTCCGTCCACTCATGCCTCCTCCATGTCTCCGTCCACTTGCCTCTATCCAAGTACACGGAGGCATGGAGGGAGACACAAGAACGTGTCTCCATGCTTGGCGCGGAGACACGACCGTGTGCACGAAGACACCGTGCTTGGCATGGAGACATGTTCTCATGTCTCCGTGCTCGGCACAGAGACAAGAAAAGGTGTCTCTACACGACCCTTTTAAAGCTTCAAGTGCCTTCCCAGGTAAGGTGATGACCCTTTTTTTCTACTTATTTTCGTGTGTTTAGAAAATGAATTAATCAGATCATGGGTCAAGTGGTAAAGCATGCATTACAACTCTTTTTGTTATGTTTGCTTTAATGTCTGAATATCGAAATTAATATGGAAAAACCAATGGGTTCACTCTGTATCTGTTTAGACTTAATAAGACAACTTTTAGTATTTGTATAAATTTAATCAAACAGCTACTCTAAGCTTGGTATTTCCCTCGATTTTTTGTTAGAAAGTAGGATGCAATTAAGAGAAGTTCGTTGATTATTTAATTTTTGTAGATAGGCCTTGATGCCTAAGTAGAAGTTTATCGGAGCTAAGGGCACAATGAATGTGGGGTGCTTTAGCTTGTTGTTCCTTCCTTCTTTTCCTTTAGTAGGGATGTTTCTTAATTATCAACACTTCTCTTTTTGTCCATACCTCCGTCGGAGGAATTTCTCCACGTGGACGGAGGAATTTCTCCATGTCTCCGTACTTGGACGGAGGCATGGAGGAATTTCTCCACGTGGACGGAGGAATTTGTCCATGCCTCCGTACTTGGACGGAGGCATGGAGAAATTCCTATGTCCAAGTGTGAATTCATCGAGCTTGAGTATGTGTTTCCACCCTTGCATTAAATGATTTGAAAATTGAATGTAGTTGATGACATATAGGTAAGATTCAAAACCAANTATGTGTTTTCACCCTTGCATTAAATGATTTGAAAATTGAACGTAGTTGATGACATATAGGTAAGATTCGAATCCAAATGTAAGTTTATCTAAGCAAATAAATTGTAAAACTTCAAGCAAGGGCAAGTGAGTTTCTATAGGCTTGCACATCACGACTTACATGGAGGCTCACCACAGGGATCTCCATAAAATTACTTCATATACAGTTTTGAGCTCTTTTTTTTTTTTTGAGTGGAAATCTTTACTGTTTCTTGGCAATTTGTATTTTCAGTGTGAAATTAACATGCATACATAATATTTTGTTTCTTGCATCTGACACAAAAGAGGATGAAATTAGATATAACTATTTGAGTATTTAAGTTGATAATTTGTTCATTTATTTCGACCTTTATTTGTTATCACGTATAAAATCACTATATATACTAACCTTGGGTAGGAAACTTATATTATTTATTATAATGTTTAATGTTTGGATACTTCTTTAAGCTTAACTTGTATATAACTTGTAGCTCAAAGTGTTTAAGATTTTATTATTTATTCCAGAACTTGACTGTAAAATCTCAATTCTTTACCTTATTTACTATTAAATCTATGAGTTAATAATTGTAATTGGAAAAAAAAATAGACTGTAGCATAAGACAAATTCTTATGAGTATCCTTGAGAATTATTCTCTTTATTCCCTCATGTACAAAAATGAAGCAACTATGTGGTGAATGTAGAAGCTTATTGTTCCCTAATATCAAGCAAATGATCGGTTCCTCTTTTGGTTTCCAATCTGAATTCTTTGTATCCTTTTGATTTCGAGACTCTCATGCTGCAAATGAAAATCATTGTATGTACCATCTAGAATGGTTCATTCTCTGTGCTGCTTATGGCCTCGTTTCCCTTGTAGCCCTTGTAAGTAACGAAAGTTACCATTGTGCTACTTCTAATTTAAAAGCTTTAGCCCACTGTTTGCATTGAAATGAAATTTATGTACTTTGATCATTGAATAAGTATGCTTAAATGTAATAAAAGTGTTTGCTGCAGTGGTATAATTAGTTGACATGGAAGACTTCCTCTCCCTCTTTATCTTTGTGACTGTGTTTCTGTGTGAGGGCATAGCTCTCATTTCTCTATCCACTTTCTTTGAACAAGCCCTTGTTAGTAATCTCCCTGCTATAAAGGTGTATATTATATGTTACATCAGGGGTCTCTTTGAAGAAGATTTTCAATACTAAGGTATTCATGCATCCCATCTCATGTTATATTAAAATAATTTGCATGAAATTCACTTGGGGAAAAAATAAATGAAAAAGTTAATGTTACACATAATGCCAGATGGAAAGAGTAATAGATATGATGATCTTATTTTGGAATAGATCTTATGTTCTCTCTGAGGAACATCAAAATAAACCAACAACTACTTATAGATTCTGAATTTTGTTGCTGTATTTCAGCATGGATTTAAGTACCCCATGCAACCAAAATAAACTCAATTGTTAAAGAACTAATTCTATAGTTTGAGATTTGTAATATTGTACTTAATTACCAGGTATAAGTAACCTTCTCCAAAAGGAGTTTCTGCAGCTACTGCCAGAGAAAAATGATTCCTTGATCGAGCATCTTCGGTTTGGTCTGTTCTTTTTACCGTTAATTTTTCTATTGAATCATGCCTTTTTCTTGGACCTCTATCCTCTCTAGGTGGAAGAATTTAGAAGGAACTGAGCAAACTGGACATTCGTTCCAATGTCACTTCTGAGATGGATCTCTTGAGGCACTGAAATGGAAATAATATGCGTTAGTGTACTTTTCACTTTAAGTAGTTGGTCCTGCGTTAGTGTACTTTTCACTTTAAGTAGTTGGCCCTTTTGAGTTTCATGGAAACAGATAAGAGTGTGGTATGTGTTTAAAAGATTAATTTTGACAGCATATAGCATGCATGCTTACCATTCTTTGATCAATGAAATCAAGATATAGTGAAAATATATTTTAATGGGCTTAATTAAGTCACTTAATATAAATGAACAGTAAAATGAAACACATCCTTCCTCTGAGTATATGGAAACAGTGCTTACAGACTGTTTTTTGGCACTTCCATACTTGCTCAGCATCTATCAAGGATGGACCAAATAATACGAAGAAGAAAATATATTAGTATAAAGATTTAGGAAGAATTGGCAATAGGAGATAATGACATCCAACACAAGTACCTTGAGTGAAAAGTCAACTATATCTAGCATTAGCAACTTTGCTTCAAACTGATATGCCAGAGCTTTTGCAAGCATTTGTTGGTAAAGTTCTAGAAAAAGAAAATAAATAAAGATTGACTAATTAAAATTGAATTTCATAAGAGGTTAGTAACGTAAGAAGAGTTACCATACCAGCAGGACCTGAGAGCAATATAGCCCGACTTGCAGGTGATAGAGTTCGAGTATGCTTAGAGACATCTAATTCCTTTAGATGAACATACGCAGCACTTGTTAATAACACCCTTGTTCGCTCGCTGGTAAAGCCATTAAAAGAGGGAGCATCAAGAATTGATAAAATTTGACAACATGAGATAGCAAAATGGCTAAAGAATATGTGACAAAGTACTCTCCTTTCAATTGTATAAGTTCCTAGCCAGATGGATTAACAAATAGTGTGAGAAAGAAACTAGTTGTAGATGCGCTTAACAAGTAATGGGATCAAGAATTCAACGATAGAATATTAAATTGCATCAAATTCTCGTTATTTACACAAATTCTTATCTTAAACCCAAACTAAGGAAATCATTAAAACAAATATCTTAAAACCATAAAAGCCTTTGCTCACCTGAATTCAACTATCACAAAATTGCAGGAAAAAGAACTTACTTTTTATAACAATTATGCAAAAGCAAACTGCATTGCTTTGAAAAAAAAGACAAAAATATAAAAGAAAAATTATTCAGCAAAGAAGAAAAGAGGTTATGATTCCATATAAAAGTAAGAATCGGGAATCTTTTGCAATATTCTGACAGCATCATCAACGTAATCAACACACACATCCATCATATTCTGACAATATTTTGAAAAATTGCTCAATCAAAGCAAAACTACAAAAAAAAAAAAAGAAAAGAAAAGAAAAGAAAACATACCTGAGATAATAAGGGAAGTCATCAAAGGTGACCTTGGTATTCTTGCCATCAAGAACCAATCTGAGAAGTTCCTGTTCAATTTGGTGACCGGTTACACCCTCCGCCACCGAAGCTCCTGTCCATTTGCTAACGGTCTTACTCGATACCAACCCGAGTCCGACACCTACTCCTACGCTCAATGCCGACAACAACACGTGATTTTGCTCCATCACCTAACCATTTACTCACACAAAGAATTCAACACATATACATTCAATTCATCCAAGATCTAAAACTTTTCTGTCAAAATTGTGTATATAATCATATATGTATATAGAGAGAGATAATTATTGTAGAGAGAGAGAGACAGAAGAACGAGAAATGCGTATCTTCCGTTGGTCGAGACAGGTCAGAGTCCGCAAGGCGGGCGCCCCATATATAGGAGTTGGCGTGAGGTTGGTGGACCGGAAATAAATAAATAAATATTAAACAATACTTTCTTCACCTGTGGACTTTATTTACCAAAATAATGTAAATAAGTGAGATATTTATTTGTTGGTGTTCAAAAAGGTTAATTTGATTGTGGTGTATTTTGTCGAATTTCTTTACTTTCAACAAAAATTGTATCGCGTGAACATTTGCAGCATGTAGCGATTCTCGAAACCCTTCATTTTAATAAACAATTGAATTCGTTCATACACATATTCGAGGATTACGACTCGTTCGAAATCGATATATCCATGGTTTAAAAAAAAAAAAAAAAACCTTATGCTACCATTGCAAGTATATTATTCTTACAATGTGCCCCCATACGTTGTTGTCCCTCCCCCTGTTTGCTTCACAGCGACACGTGTCATAAGATTATTGAATTTTTTATTTTTTGTTTGTTTTTAGCGAAGCAAATAATATGCTCATTGGCTGGCATATTTTATTTATTCCATTCATTTCAAAATGATAAACACCACTTGTAAAAAAGTAAAATAGCCGTAATTGTGCGTGAAGGTTTGATTAGTTTATGTGGACGGTCCACGCATGCCGCTTTACACGGTAGATGAACTGCAGCAGAAAAGGAGAGGCGGCTGCAATGAAAGAATCGCTTAAGCCAAAGGAAACTCATTCTTTCTTTTCCTTTTCCTTTTTATTTTCAAATATTTTTGGCATTATTTTCGACTTTGTTTAAGCCTAAAAAATAAGAGGTTAATATTAATTAAATAAAAAATTAGTCAATCGTCTTGGTAGATTATCGTCCTGGTTCATGAATATTACTATTAATTGATAGCGACTAGTGACTCAAGGTTGGACATTTATGCAAGGATGTACCTACCTAATACATTTTAGGAATTTTTTTTCTTAGTTATTATTAATTATAATTAATTATTCATAATAATGACTTAAGAGAGATTTGGAAATCTATTCTCATGAGTTTTGCTACACAAACATAATACTTGACATAGGGGATGACACAACACATATATGAAGGATGTCGGCATTATTTAATTCAGGTCGGGAGTCACATGCAATGTGAGAGGTCAATCAACCTCTTATGTCAAATATTATGTTCATTTGGCTTAATTCGTTGCTCATTGTACATCGACCCCAATTGGGTCGATCTGTATAAAAAAAGTTAAAATTTTATTTATTATATACTAAATATTCATTATGTATCTGCTCGATCATAATCAAATTTTCTTTATATAATTTAAGACGTAGATCAAAATTTCAATTCTAATTAGTCAATATTATCAACAAAGGCACTGGTCGAGGAATTTCGAGTCTCGCAAGTCTATAATTGTAGATAGATTTTTCCCAAAAATAATAATAATAATGTGTGTGTGTGTGTTTGCCGACACGTCAATTATAATGATATTTGCGTAGTACACTTGTTAGTGGATGCAGGTCAAATTAAGCAAGAAGAATAATTCTTGGAATCATTATCAACTTTTTTCTTAAAAAGAAAATTAAATAATATGGCATTTACTTTTCTTTGTCTACCAAACATGGGCAATTATTTTTTCAAAATGAAAAATCAAAAGTTTTCTTCCAATTCATTTTCTATTCACTCTTTTGCAAACCTTTTCTTTTCGATGTGTGAGTGGGGATCTATGCAATTCATATGGAGATTTCTTTTAGAAAGGCAATTACCTAAAGTTGTTGCTTTAAGGCTTTAGTCTTTTCTGCATCTATGACCAACTAGAAAGAAGAAAACCTCCTCTATAGGATTTCGTCCGCACGCGTTGTTGAGTATTAATGGCACTTATCGAGCTATTCAAAAGTGAGCATATACAAGATACTTTAAAAATTATTTTTTCTTTGATCAAAATGAATCGTACGTATTGCCTCTATTTGGATTTTATTCTATTTTGCTAAAAATTCACTCTTCAATAAATGAGTGTTTGTGAATTCTATGAAATTTGTGGTTCAAATTAATATTTGACTTTAAAAATAAAATTTTAGGAGAATAAAAATGCTTCTTAGAAAATAATGAAACACTGTCTCGAGCATGATCTTCAGCCTGAACTGCAAAAGGTAGAAACTCACGATCATTCGAAAGAAGTTTCAAATGTGATGAAGTAGCATGTTCAATTTGTTCCACATGTTTGTTGTTAAGTGCCCTATGGAAAGGCAACTTACAACAAGATCGAGTTGGAGAGTCGAGCCAAAGCACCTTAACTTCATACCGTAGTTTCCTTTGTGTTGGACTGAGTATCCTTCTTTACAATTTTAAACAATTATGTTCATGCTTGTTATATGCATATACTGCTCCACAGTGTAGAACAAAATTACATCTCAGATTAAATGCTATATGTACCCATTTGGATCATCCTCATGTAACGTAACATTAAATAATAAGACCAATCAAGTAGTCTTATATCTACCCATTTAATTTGTCTAATCATGTCGCAAGAAGGAACACTTCACATTAATTCATTTCCATGTCAGCATCACATGCTTTACATTTTAATGCTCAATGCAGTATTTTGATTGGTGGGTTCCACGTAATACCACTAACTTTTAGCAACATTCTTACTAGTGTCATTCCATTAATTAAAGAATAATGTCATTCAGCACCGGTGATGTTGAACAATGATCCAAGTCTGAGTGTTACCATACCACACGTACTGTTAAATGGATCATAATTTTTTGTATTTAATTGAACTTATAATTTAAAATTTTTTTTATACTAAACACATTGATAATTAGATGTTACAGATGTGCATTAAGCTCGGCTCGTTGTTTTAAAAAAAATTATAATGTACAAAAAGTAAAAACTTTTAGAAAGGCAATAAGCTTAGTCACTTTTCTTTTTTGACACTTAATATTTTAAATTTATTTAAACTGTATGAATCTTTAAAGATGTGATGTAAACCAGATACTGCACCAAAAACCAATAATATCTAAATTTACACTAATTGTGGCATTCATTAATTACGAACCCACTAAGTTTGTGACATGTCGGACCATTAATTTTGGGAAGCATACAAAAACAGTGTCGATTGGGATCCATCGAGGACTATTTCCTTGCAGCGCAAGTTGCTACGCTGTGCAAATCAAAAAAGAGACATAGAACATCATAAAAAGGTCGTGCTTATTTTATTTTTAACTTTACTCTTATAATCGGTCGGACCACTTTCTCTCGTAATTAAAAGAAAAAATTACCCGAACATTGAATATTTAAATTCACTTAGGGTGCGTTTGATTGTAAGGGTGGAAAATTGGTTAATTAAAATTTTTTTTACAATTAGTTATGACATTTGTTCCCATTATCAAAAAAAAAAAAAGAAGAACAGCTGCCTAGAAAACCCTAAAATCAAGGAACCAAGGCGCGTGAACCAGCTGCCAAGAAAATAAATGGGTGGGAAAATTTTGTAAATCAAACATGCCAAAACCAAGTAAAAGGAATTAATTTTCCATTTTTCAAGGAAAACTTGGTATATCAAATACAGCCTTAATGCTTAAGGCAACTACTAGTCTACTAGCAGCCAGTGACAAAACTTAGGTTGGACAGTTTTGGGCCAGCAGGGAATTGCCAACTGGAAATTGTGTTCTTTGGACTGATTCGAATTAAAAATTAAATAAAATAAAAGAATAGTCCTTAGAATTAGGTCAAAAAAAGGCAGACATATTAGCAACTATGTAGCTTTAGGGGAAAACAGTGGTCCAAAAGTAATATCAAATCAAGCTTCTAAAAGTTGTAAAGGCCACATGAAAGCCACAACTATCATGACAATGACATTTTTTGTTCTTTTCCTTTTACTTATATAAATTCATAGTTTTGTATATTGTAATAC